TCATCATCATCATCATCATCATCATCATCATCATCATCATCATCATCATCATCATTATCATCATTATCATCATCATCATCATCATCATCATCATCATCATCATCATCACCATCATCATCATCATCATCACCACCATCATCATCATCATCATTATCATCATTATCATCATCATCATCATCATCATCATCATCATCATCATCATCATCATCATCACCATCATCATCATCACCACCATCATCATCATCATCATCATCATCACCATCATCATCATCATCACCATCATCACCATCATCATGATTCTGATTATCATCATCAGCATCATCATCATCAGCAGCATCATCATCACCCCCGCTGCGCCCTGGCTGCCTCCCCCGGCGGCCGCCCCGGGACACCCTCGTGGCCGCGGTTGGCTTCTCCTCGCGGGTCTGCCCGCAGCGCACCCTGCTGCTGGAGCAGGTCCGGAGGCCGACGTCCTGGCCCCCGGAGCCCGAGGCCCCCTCGCGCCGAGAGAGCAGGTCTCCGGACGGCTTTTTGGGGGCAGCTTTCGGCCTCTGGCGGCCCGGGGCTGCCAACACACGGTCCGGGATGACCCTCCGTATGGCGCATTCATCGGGGGGGAGGGGGGGGGGAAGATGCATTTTCCGGCGGAGCGTCCCCATCCCCCCCCCCCCCACCGCCCCTCGACGCGCTTCCAGAATCTTCACACGCGCACTCGAGCTTCATCCCCCCCCCCCGATCCCGCCCCGACGGCACGCGCCTTTCCCCCCCTCGAGCCCCAGGGTGGGGGGGGGCGAGTATACAGTCGGGGCGCTGAAGAAGGAACCCTTCTCGTTGGCGAGGGGCTCGGCGTTCCTTGATTGTTTTGCAGTTTGCGTTGGGCTTTCCATGGGAATTCGAAGTTCAACTTATGGGAAAAAGGGGCCTCGTTCCTTATTTAGGGTTCCTTAGGTCAACGCCCTGACTGTAATCGGGGGGGGGGCGATTCATTTTCCGACGGAGCGTCCCCATCCCCCCCCCACCGCCCCTCGACGCGCTTCCAAAATCTTCACGCACGCACCCACCCGGCCCAGGAAGTCGAGCTTCAAAGCTGCCATCCCCCCCCCCAATCCCGCCCCGACGGCACGCGCCCCTCCCCCCCGCGAACCCCGGGGGGGCGGGGGCGAGTATACAGTCGGGGCGCTGAAGAAGGAACCATTTCGTTGGGGAGGGGCTTGGTGTTCCTTGCTTGTTCTGCAGTGTACCTTCGGTTCTCCTGAGGTTTCCCATGGGAATTCGAAGTTCAACTTATGGGAGAAAGGGGCCTCGTTCCTTGTTTAGGGTTCCTTAGGTCAACGCCCCGACTGTATGCCCTGCGGAGCAGCCGATCGTGGGGAAGGGGTCGAGACCTTTGGGTCCGCGTGCCGGGGGCAGCCACGCGGGGGGGATATGGCCCCGGGGGTGGTGGACATCGTGGCCGGGGCCAGGACGGCTCCTCGGCCTTCGGGCCCCTCTTCTGGATGGCAGTGCGTCCCCCAGCTGCCCCCCTCGTCCGCGCACATGCCTGCGGCCAGTATCGTTAGGTCGGGCATGTCCCTCTACAGGAGGAGTCTCCCCAAATAGTGAAAACAAAATGGTATGGGCACGACTTTTCAAGTATGTTTGGCTGTTTTGAATATTCTTGGACTATTTTTGTTTTTCTTCCAAAAACCGCCTGTAGGGACATGCCCGACGCTTTCAAGGCTGCCCCCCTCGTCCGCGCAAATGCCTCTGGCGTCCGCGGCACCCCCCTCCCCACTCTGGGTCTCCTTATTGGACGCCCCCAGACGTTGCGAGCAATAGCCACGACGTCACGGTTTCGGGAATGCCGGTGGCCTTCTCCGGACCCTGGCCGCCAGAGGCCCGCCTGAGGGAGCCGTGGCCGTCAGAGATCGACCCGGGCTGCAGAGGGCGGTCCCCTGCAGGAAGGGGTCGCGCGGCCTGTGGCTCGAGCGGCTGTTCACGAGTCATCCGCCGCAGCACTGTACACACAGATGCCTTCCAATGGATTGGTCCTGGGCCTCAGGGCAGGGCGGCGGAATGTCAGCGCGTGATTTACACATGATGGCCCCTCCCCCCCGGAGCTGATGAATAGACCCAGCGGGGCGCGACACTTTTTTGTTTTTGTTTTTTTGTGTATCACGCGCGCCAGGGCTCGGAGAGCTCAGGGAACCACCGCGCCGCGGATGATGGGGCGAACGATGGGGCGGTCGGCGGACGGCGAGAGCAATGGGGCGACGGCAAGAGCGGGCGGTGGAGGCGGGCGGAGGCATGGCGGGGGGCTGCGACGACGACGGCGACGGCGAAGGCGACGAAGAGGACACCAACGGCGACGGCCACGACGGCGGCGGCAGCGGTGGCGACGACGACCACGACAGAAGAGGGGAGGAGAACGGCCCGCCCTGCTCGGGTCGGAAACGAAAGGCGGGGGAATGAAATGGGTGTGTTGCGAAGTCTGCTGCGCGCAGCTGGTTTCCGTCGCCCCGCCGAGGGGCCAGTCCTCGATGCATGCCCGCTCTCGGCGCCAGGAGGCGTTCGGAAAACCAGATATGCGTGCTGCTTGGCAAAATCCCGCTTGGCCATGCCCCTCTTTCGTCCAGCCCGCCTTGCTCGCGTGCCCGCGAGGCAGCTGGCGCACCCCTGGCTGCGGCCAAGGCAAGCGAAACGCATCGGTTCGACTGAAAAGAGCACATGACATGTGGGGGCGAGCGCCGACAACAGTTTTTTCATTTCGAACAAATGTCGCCCTGGTTCACTGCCCCTGCTTTTGCCGCCCTTGCCTTCCTCCCCCCCTCCCCCAGTTTGTGCTGGTTCTTTCGCCTTCTCGCTGGCGGCCGGGCGTCGGCGTCAATCACCGCGCCGCCGTCGTTGTGTTTCAATTTGGCGGGCGCCACCCCCTCGATTCGCCCGAGCGGGGGAACTTTCTTTTCAATCGCGCGCCCCCCACAGATTTGGTAATCACAAGCTGACGGTATTAATCTCCACGGGGGGCCAGCGACCTTTTACACCGCCCCCTCCCTGAAGGTACATGCAAAGTTTGTCGGAGGGTGTCTGTATATATATATATATATATATATATACACCATCTCTCTCTATATACATACATATACACACACCTTGCTTTCGAGGATCGAAGAATTTGTCATCTCTCCCGCCGCGGAAAATGGCGGAAAAGGCGGCGGAAGGGCGGCGGAAGTAAAACGAGGCCGCCCCCGCCGGCGGAAACAGGCGGAACAAGGGTGACGGAAGGTCGCGGAAGTGAGAAATGCGCCCCCAAGATATGAACACATTTTTAGGTTCAGGGGTTCTGGACTCGGCCATATACATATATACATATATATGCATAATTATAGTTATATATATACATATGCATATGTATATATATATATATACACATATACATTTGTATCTATACATATATGTATATATGTATGTATGTGTATATGTGTATATATGTAGGTTTTTTATGTATATATATGTGTGCGTATGTAGACAAATGCGCCCCCCACCCGGGGGTCCTACGTCTCCCCGTCACATCTGCGTAACGCCTCCAATGCCGCGCTTCCGGGTCTCCCGGGGGGCCCCCAAAACGCCGAAGGACAGCCCAAGACGACCCCAAGAAACCGCAAGAACGTAAAATAACGGCCCACTACGCACCCAAACAACTCAAGTTAGCCTCCGGGCGGCTCTCCACGCTCCAAGAAAACGTTCAAGAGACCCCAGAAGAGCTCCGAGAGGCCTACCGAGAGCGCCAGGAGAATCCCAAATGGTTAATTATCAAAAACAAATCAGATGCTTTTGGCTTTCTCACCATTTCATGCTTGCAGCGCTCCAAGACGGCCGAAGAGGCCCCCCAAACCGCCCCAAGACCGCCCAAGAGGCCCCCAAGACGGCCCCAAAACGGGCCAAAAAGGCTCCAAGACTGCCGAGTATGCGCCCAGGACAGCTCCAGACCATCCCAGAACAGGCCCAAGAGCGGGAGCAGGAGGCCTCCAAAGACCTCCGAGAGGACTCCAGGACCCCCAGAGGCCCACCAACACACACCAGACCTTTGAGAGGCTTCAAAAAAGCTCCGACGAGGCCCCCAAACAGCCCAAAAGAGCTTCGAGAGCCGTCCCGAGAGAGGTCACATCGCTGATTTCCATTTTTTTTCGCCTTCTTACGTTTTCCCGCTTCCAACGCTCAAAGACCGAGGAACTTGAAAAAAGGGGATTCCAGATATTCCCTTTGTTTTCAAGTTGAACAGATACGCCCCCCCTCCCCCCTCCCTCCCGGGGGTCCCACACCTCCCCGGAACATCTGCGGAACGCTCCCGGTACCGCGTGTTCCGGCCCCGGGGGACCCCCAAAACGCCCAAGGACAGTTGAAGACACCCCAAGAAGCTTCCAGAACGTAAGAGAAAGTCCCAATACGCTCCCAAGCAACCCAAGATAGCCTTCGGTCGGCTCTCCAGGCTCCCAGAAAGCTCCAAGAGACATGAAAGACAGAGGAATTTGAACAAAAAAGACGGAAGTACAGAGATTCTTTTTTTCTCAAGTTGGGACCCCTAGTCCCTATCCTCTTCCTGAAGCCCCATCAAGACTTCGGGGTCACATGTACAGCTTTTTTCGGGAATGCGGTTGAACTCTCTGACGCTGTCTTTGCACTCTCTCGGTCTTCTTCGTGTCCTCTTGGCTGCCCCTAAAACCACCGTTGAAGTCGAGATCCCACGAGTTGGAAATAAACATAATTTTAGAATTCCTTTTTATCAAAACCCACCCCCTGCTTGTTTCTGCACGAAGGCCACGAGAGGCATCCCAACAGGCCGTGGCCTGCATCCAAAAATCTTCAAACCCAGAGCCCAGGCGCGGGAACTTGAACAAAAAGGGAAATCCAACAATTCATTTTTTTCAAGTTCGCCCCCCTGTCGACTCTTGCATAACAGGCCACAGTTAAGGCCCCCCTGAGCTGCTAGACCCAGGAAACCTTTGAGGGCCCCAAATCGT